GGGGGCACAGTTTCTAACAGAACTTGCACCTCTGTGTAAGATTTACTGCTCTGATGGAGAAGAATACACCATATCTAGGTGAGTTACTTTTTAACCACAATTTTGGAGAAACAAAGAAGATAATATTTTTCTTCAAAGCAATATTTTCTTTAAATAGCTGTGTTAGAGGACGGTTGATGGAAGTGAATGAAAACATTCTCCATGAGCCATCTATTCTTCAAGAGAAGGTAAAAGGGTCTGGGGAAGTAAGATCCCATCCACACACTTTTTACCTGATGTTTTACCATTTGACAGTATTAAATATTCTATTTCCCTTCTAGCCATCCACCGAAGGATACATTGCAGTTGTGTTGCCCAAGTCTGAAGAAAGTAAAAGCATAACAGAAGGGTTACTGACACAAAAACAGTATGAAGAAGTCGTGGTAAAACGCATCAGTGCCACAACAGCGACCTCATGAGGAGTAAGAGTGAGTGAAAACAACAGGGCATTCTTATCCTTACCTGGCCTACCAGTCAGTGCACTAAGGAAGAACCAGAGATGCTGAAGCATCCTTCACACCGGGCCATCCGCAGGGAGGCCTGATCTTAAAACCTGACCTAGGTTTCCTTCTTTGTCTTGCATAACAAGCCTTGATTCCATTTTGTCTTCAACCTCCCAGATCTGCCTGCCCATGGACTCACTCTGTTCTTTGCTTTTCTAACAACTGGCAAGCGACAGATGTTTTTCTGATTAAAAACCAACAAACAAAGCACTTTGAGGAAAATTTGAAAAGACAGAAAAGTAAAAATAATTTACCCATCATCCTGTAACCCGTTAGTAAATACTAGGTTTTGATGTGATTCTGGTTGAGTATTATGTCATGGTTATTGTTTTTGCCTCAATTTTCCATCACTTTGAAGTTGAAAAACAACAACCGGCCTTTCTTACCCAATCTGCCTCAGTGTGACACGACCAAAACGTCTGGTCCCACCCCATCTGCCCCAACTCCCCCGCTCAGGTTGCTGGGAAGAGGCAGGGTGTAGAGTGTACCTTCTCTATGTCTGTGGGTTGGCCTTCAACTCTGAACAATGTAGCACTGTAACGCTGGTTTCTTAATGAGGGACACATGAAGAGGCTTTGAAAGGGGCTTTGCTAACATGGAAGTATCAATATTATAATGCTGTATGAAGTAAGGTGCATTTGTGGTCTCTCAGTCTCGCACTGTAGTTACAGAGTAACCAGCGAGGAAGTTCCCGAGAGGTTCCTGGAATTTGAAGACAGACATGCTTTTGAACAGAACAAAAGTTTTCACATCATTTAAACAATAAACGAAAAACTATGAATTTATGGTTTAAAATTGTATGCTTGTTTACATTGAATTTCAAATAAAAGGACTTTTAAAACTTATTTTTCCTTAAGGGCTGCAACACATACATACATATAACTATATGGTTTTAAATAAAACGATTATCATTGACATGTAAATTCTTTTGGTTCTCTATCATCTTATGCTGTTGAAGTGATGTTATCCCTTTCTACCACCACTTGCATTTAAATAAGAGAATTCTCATTTCAGGTATGTAAACTCTTTTGTAAATAAATTTTTTAAAATTATTTTTGACTTACAAGGAAACTTTTAACTTAAGTGCCAGCATGACTCTCCCCTAAGTAGACCCACCAGATGTGATACAGGTATTAACTCTACAAACATCTACCTTGATAGTGCTATGAGCTGAAAGTGTAAGCACAAACCAGCAAATCCCCATTTCAGGTAGCACAAAGGGTTCCCAAAGGTGTCATAAAACAAAGATACTAAAGATAGTAAAAGAATTATGTATCTATTTTACATATAACATTACCTCACATCATTTTCCCTATATTTCCATTGTAATTTAAAAGAGTATTTTGGTTTCAGGGCATAAAAATCATATCTGATGATTTTTATAAAGAAATATTTTATAAAGGTCATAACCAAGCTGAGTGCATCCCATTTTCTCTCCAAGGCCTACAGTAAATTCAAGTTTGCCTAAATAAAATATTGACTAGCTAACTGGTGGTTCTTCAGGATCTTGTGAACATTGACTGTGATGGCTGACCCAGATACCGATCATCAGACGAGCCTACAGAACTACTGCCATTTGGCCACTGACATGTCCCGTTAGATTTCAAAATAAATTTCAAAGCACTGGGATACAAGCACAAAAAAACAAAGTTAACTATACTACATCATAAGGACAGACCTTATAACCAGATCCTTCTATCAAAATCCACCCCACAAAAACAAAAGCTTTAAACCGTAAAACCAAAAACACTAAAGTTGTTTATTTGTTTTATAATGAACATTCCAAAGACACATATATAAAATGTATGCTTACTCAGAATTTATTTTAAAAAGCTCAGTTCAATTATTCTCTGTCTTCTACCTTCTGTTCCATCAGTCACTACTCAGAAGTACAAAAACTACTTTTTAAGCCCGTAAGATAGGCTTAGGATTCCAGCTAATATTCAGGGCAGACAGGCCAGCTATGCTAGAAGGAGAACTAAAACCATCTCCTAGTGAGTTCCTCCAGGATTCCGTGGAGTAAGCTCCATGACCCTGCTTTTGGGTGGGAGAGGGACATGCATCACAACAGATTTCCTGTGCTCCGTGAAACCCTTACTAGAGAACACACGTGTGCTCCTGGCATGGATGATCTGTGACAGAGAGGACAGCAGAGGCCCAGTCATACTCAGTGGACGGAGGGATTGAAGAGGAGTCCACAGGTTTAAGGACAACCCTGCATCACCCAGACTACTTGTCTCTTCTGCTGCAAATTGGTATAGTAGATGATAAGCTTAAATTTAAAAAAATAGGAAGTTAGGGTAAAATATGCCAAAATGATCATATATTCAAAGCAGTTTCTTTGGATTAAACTGTCATTAAGACAGTAGGGATATTTGGTTTGACTTAAACATTATTCATGGCAACGTCCTATTCTAAAATCACACTGCAATTAGAAATATAGCAACTACCATGGCATTTATTAGTTGTCAGAAAGCTTCACAATTGGTTTCATGATCAGAAAATAAAGCAAGATTTCAGTTTGTTGTCTTTACAAAATTGTTCAGTTTCTGAAATATAAAGAATCATTTGCTTTCTAAAAATGTTAGCTTTGCCACATGGTGTTCCAGAGATCTGACCTCAAAAGCTTCTCAAGTTTTACCATCCACAGAATCTTTATTTGTAACTGAGACTCATCTGTTGTTGTCCATTTGAATCTGGAAAGAATTAAGAAAATTAGTTTCTGCTTTACTTTACTCTTAAAATAATTGCAAAATTAAATAGTATCTATTTTCTTTTGCACTTTCCTTTAGACTAATTTTTTAAATGTGAGTTTAAGATACACAAATTATCTTACCTTCTTCAGCAGTTTATAGCAAAGCGACAGAAGTTGGACCAAAGTAGCCATTATGCATCTTGTCTTTGTAATACTCTTATCAACCTATAGTGACAGAAAGCAAGCAAATCAAATTCTTATAAGGAGGCCTTCAAAAGACTTTAGCATTTAGTTTGAAAATGGTAAACATTTCTTCATTATAGAAATCTAAGGGATCTCAAAGGGTATACAGATTAAGGCATCTGAGCTGACTTGATGACCTGAGATCCCAGAACAAGGAGGAAGCAGGGATTGTTGCCCAAGTCTCATGCCAATTTCATGGAACCCCAGGAAGAATGGATGGAAAATCAACCTGTTCTATTTCAGACGGTTTAGGGGCTTCTCAAAGGGCACCAAATAGTGGCAGTGAACCCCTTTCTTTGCAACTCCTTTCACTCTACTTTTTTTCACTCAAACTCCCTAAAACAAACAACAGAAGCCCTTCACTCTGAGGTGTCTGTGCCCTAGTTAGTCAGGTGATGATGTTGGGATTTAAGGGTAGCTGCTCCGTGCTATGGAATTAATCATGTCCAAAAAGCTAATTTACTTGGTGAACCTACTACTTCCTGGGGTCAGTTATAACTGCAGATGATAAATGGTTCTTGCAGTCAAGGCAGGAAAAATGGAAATACATGGTTCTTCTGTGGGTATTAACACTTTATTTGAAAAAAAAGAAAAAGGGGCTGGAAGCTAACCTAATAAAAAAAGAAGTGTGAAAGTTTCTCAAGCGCTTTCCTGAATGTCCCACCCTCCCTTTTACCTTTAGAAACACTTGATTCTGCAAAGGTGTCTTAGTTACTGCCTGGAGCTGGTGGCACAGAGGAACAAGCTTGTTTATTTCCAGGAGAAGCATAAGCTTATCATCATCTTTCAGCTGAAATGTAAATAAGGAAGTTATAA